GTTCCACTATTTTATTTTGTCTTCCAACTCCTTTATTATTTTTTTCAGCTGTCTTATTTTTAATTTTTCCGGAGCTCCTTTTTGTACTTTGAACATTTATTAAGCCATGAAGAGAATAAGAGATCTTAATAATGTGGGATTTTTGAATACCTATGAAAGTGTTTCATGAGAGAAAGATCTGCCTGGCCCAGACAACATGGACCAATTCAAAAAGAGTATGAGTAAATTCAGAACTTCCTTATCTTCCTGTCTCTCTCCTTTTCTTATGCCCTAACAAGGTCAGAAACTGTCTTTAGTAGCTGGGAGAGAAAAAGTAGAAGTAAAGGAGAGAAACAAAGGAGAAATCTTAATTTTGAGTCAATGCAGTTTTAATTATTATACAGGCCTGTATATTCTCATTTCTGAATGGAGACATGAAACTTCATATCAAAGGAAATGGAAGTCATTGAAGGTTTGTGTTAAGTGAGCTTGTGACAAAACCAGAGCTTTGCGTTCAGAATATTGACCTTGTCATAGAGAGTGAGATGGCTGCAGGGAGAAGACACTTGAGGAGGAGAGCCCAGACAGAGCACCACAGGACTTGTCCAGGGGAAGAACGAGAGGCCTCGAGGGATAAAGTCAGGACTCTGCATGAGTCAATCCTTTGCACTTGGTTAAACTCAGTCTGTGAGTTTGAACCAAAGTTTCTTAAAACCTAGCGATATCTTCAACAGAGAAAAATCCAGGAGGCAAATCAAAGTCAACACCAGACATAATTAGACTTTGAGGAGCCAGCAGCTCTGGGAAAGCATGTCCAGTGAGGATGGAAATACAGGTCCTGCTCCCATTACAGTCATCTTTCTGCTGCATTGCAGAGAGCTCAGCCCTTGGAGCCTTTCTGTGTTTGGTAAAATATACATAACATCAAATTTACCATTGTAACCATATTTAAGTGTACAATTCAGTGGCATTAAGTTCATTCACAATGCTATTGCCACTATCCATTTCCAGAAACTCATCGTCATCACAAACAGAAAGTCTGTACCCATTACACAGTTACTAACCCTCTCTTCTCCCACCTCTAGCCTTTGGAGTCTTGCATTGTCCTACCCCATGCTCTTGAACAGCAGCCTATGAAGAAATTCTCCTGTATGAGACCCTAAATTTATTAGTTTTATAAAGTAAAACTAATGAATGACCTGCAATCACCAGATGTGAAGAGTACAGAGGTAGCCAAGGGAAGGTCTCAAGGTGACCACCTTGGTGATGCTGGGGGTTCTCTGACTCTTGTGGATTGTCTGGTCCTCCTTCCTATTCACTGGGTAGCTGCCCCTGTAGGACGTGGAAGTGAGGAAATGGGGACTGCATGGGTTGTACTTGCAGAGATACCAATGTATATGGGGTCCGGGCATCAGTTGCTTTTGAAATCTTCCCAACTGATTCTAACACAGAGCCAGGGTTGAAGAATACTGGGTAGGACATTATTCATCCCCACTGTCAGTGGTGGGAACACCTTCACCTTCCTGGAGGGTAGTAAGGACTAAGTGAGACAGAACAGGTAAACCTCCCAGGATAATCTCCAGATCACAGGGATGCTCAATGCATGTAAACTCTTAGTGTTTTAGAAATAATAATGATGGTTGATAATATTTGTTGTTTTATATTATTAATTTTTCAGTGTATGCTCAAAACAACTCTGTGATATTAATATTATATCACAGAAAGATAAAGTGATAATGGAGGAAGGTATATGCCTGTCTGTGTGTGCATGTGCATGTCTGTGTGTGTGCATGTGCATGTCTGTGTGTGTGTCTGTGTCTGTGTGTGTAAAAATATGTATCTCTGTGTGTGCTGTTGAGTGTAAAATGTGTGTCTTTGTCAAAGGTTTATTTCAGAATGTAAGAGTCAGAGAGGACTTTAGAGAGGAGGAGACGTGAAATGGACTCTACAGAAAAGATGTCAGCTGTCCTGTGCAGGGAATGATATGGAGGCAAAGGGGACACCACATAACCTGGTGCAAGGGTGTGACTCAACAGGATGCATAAGTGAATGGTATATAGACCACGAGGCTGAGCACAGAATCCTTTGTGAACAGGAAGATGAGATTGGAAGGGTGCCCAGGGATGGGGTCTTGGAAGTACTTGTGTGCAGTGCCCATGGTGGGACTGGATCCCCCAGCAGTGATTCCAATCTGGGTTTCCCAGGCTGTTGCAAGAGCTCCATGAATCCTTGCATCCACCAAGCATAGTATGTAGACTGAATATGCAATGTGTTTCACAAAGTAAGGACTAATTTAAGTGTACATATTTCTTGATGTGAATAAAAATACACATTTATTCTAAAAGCATGCTGATAATACATGATAGTAGATAACTGTTATCTTCTATTTCTCAATCAAGAGGTTGTATAAAAATACCTACTACATGTAATTTGAGAGTGAGTTTAGGACTAAGTCCTCTTATGTGAAACATTTGGAAGCACGTGCCCACTAGTATTTCAGGGTTATGGAAGTGAGATCAGGATCACATTTTGGTTTTAGGAGGGTCACTTTTGTGTCAATGAGGAGGATGTATTGCAGGAAGGTATCCCAGAGCCCAGGAGACCATTTAGGAGACATTTGCCCAAGCTAGGAAGGACTAGAACTGGACTGTGATGATGGCTGTGGGGATGGAAAGGAGGGGATGCTCAGAAGTGATGCTGTGGCAGTGAAGGGCACAGAACTTTATGGACTCTTAGATGTCAGGAGGGAGATGAACTATACTAAGCTCATAAAACTCCCTAAAATGTTCACAATCCCTGGAATTTGTAGTATTATCCTTCCTTGGCAAAAAACGACTTTACAGATGTGATAAAGTTACAGATTTTCAGCTGGGAAGATTATCCTGAATTTTCTGGTGCCTTCTAAATGCAATCCCATATATTTTATATGAAGGAGGCAGAAGAAGATTAGACACACTCAGAAAAGGAGAAGGCAATGTGACCTCAAGGGGAAGAGATTGGAGTGATGTGGCTACAATTCAGGAATACCATCAGCCATCAAAGCTGGAAGCAGCTATGAGATTTTCATCTCCACTTTCCAAAAGGAGCAATGATTTTGATTGCTGACACGATTTTGGCAGCGTCTTAGAGAGTTTGAACTTCTGTCTTCCAAACTTTGAGAAAATGAGCTAATTTAAGCCACCAAGTGTGTTACAGCAGCTACTGAAAACTAACCCAAAGCCTATGATGTACCTAAATTTTCTGAGTCAGATGCCTCATTGGGTGGTGGGTCCATTGACCAGGATGAGGGTACATATGGAAGAGGAGTAGGTTGTGGGCAGCCTATGAGTTCGAGTTTATATATTCCTTCAGAAATAACTGTGGAGTGCTTGAATGGAGTTGTTCAGATGACAGCTGGATGCTTGTTTCTGGAGCTCTTGGGAGAATTTGGGGAGGGACCATTAGCCTCAGGTGTTAGTGAGTGGTGTAAATATTGATGACCCATGTGAGTGAGTGTGCAGAGCAAAAAAGAGTTAAGTGAAATTGAACCCTGGGGATTCACTAAAATTGAGAGGTAGATGAAAACAAATTACACTGGACAGTTCGTAGGATTGAAACCATAGTGAAGGGGTAACAACCAAGCAGGTTGGTTGTGGTTATGATGAGGACAAAATATGAGTGAAACTGTTGGTTGGGAACCACATGACTGGCCAGACATCCAGGCTACAAGTATCACTCAGTAAAGACCAGTAGCAGAAACGTTTTAATTGCTTTTTACCCTCAGGATCATTTTCAGTCATGGCAATATAAATGGGAAATCTGCAAAGTGACGCAGCATGATTCATGACAAATATTTCCTCTTATGATCCCTGCACCTCAGGCTGCCATGGGTAACTGGACATTGAGTCTCTGAAATTTACTAGTGACAACACCCAATGGCCACTTCATGATGAAAACCACCCCAACTCGAGGCCAGAGACTGTTGGATAATGACAAGACAAGTAGAGATGTGCTGGGAAAGTAATTTATTGAAGCAGGATATTGAAACCTTTACATTTTCCAGGAAAGAGCAGGTGATCATGGAAAGAAAGAGGTACTACGATAGAAGATTTGACAAATCATTGTAACCACACTTGAACAGTATTTTCCCCTGAAATAGAAAAAAAAAGAAAGAAATGGAAAGTCAGTCTTGCTGCTCCTGGAGATGACATATTAACATAGATTGCTGTTCACACCAAGACATCAATGAAATTTTAACAAACAAAAGGCAAATGGAAGATATCAGGCAGGACCCCAGTGTGCACGTGAAATAAATACACGTGATACAGTTACAACCAACCATGTAAGTCAGGAAAGCACCATTTCCATAGTCCAGCCTGTAAACCCTGAGGTGACCCAAGAGTAGGACTCAGGTTTCTATGGAAGGAGGGAGGTGAAGGGTTGGACAGAGCAGCCCAGGATTTCTTTTCGCTGATGTCCCGGGACAGGGAACTCTACTTTTTCACTCTAAAGGGGACACAGGGTTGAGAGATCAGAAGAGGGGTGGGAGAGGTCTTGGGAAGTATTGCTTTCAGGACATCCCCAGCATCAGGGTGTAGAAATTCAAAGTGATGGCACATGTGCTTCTCAGCACTGAGAATCCTGCATCTATGGGCATTGGCAGCTGAACTTCATGACCTAAATCCAGTGGTATATGGGTTGACAGACACCTTTAAATATATAATTTCTTGATAAAGACATAACTTAAGTGCTTCACTTTCATAAGGGGTTGCAGGAGACACAACAAGGAGGGTCTCTGCCCACTGGCCATGACAAGGAGGAGAGTCATAGATGAGGACTAGAAAAGTGGGCAGGGGGTAGTTCCCTCCATCCCACCTGTCACCTCCTTCAACACTCCCAACACTCCCCATGAGATTCCACAGGGACTGTGTCCACTGGGTGAGGGAACTCACCCTCAGGAAAGCTTCCAGGCAGGGAGCCAGCAGTGCTTTGGCCCTTCAACATCACTGCATGGGGCCCTGGGTGTGCTCCTCCTCAGGACACTATGGGGAATCCGGCACCCAGACAGGTGTCCTTAGAAGGAGGAACATGCCCAGATGCTCTGTGCAGTCTTGGTATAGCTCAGCAGGTGTAATATTATTATCCATCCTGTGGCCATGGGTCACACTATCAGAGGTGAGCGGTGAGGCAGGTACCTCCACCATCTGTCCTCCCTGCGCCACCCCCCCAAGAGCGGTACCCTGACGTCCTTCCTGGCTGTTCACCTGAGCAGAAGTCTCTATGCACAAAGAAGAAAGCCTTACCAAGGTCTCTGTGATTAGCACTCTGTTCCCAAAGGAGATCTCATTCGTGCATTGCTTCACTTGCAACTTGGCCTCAACAACTTCTTGAGGTGCTGCATATTTCTGAAGTTGTAACTTGTAGACAGAGTCGATAGTGAATAAGAAGCCTGAGAGATCAATAGCAAGGGATGGACAGACGACCGCATTGGCTGGAGCAGAAGAAAAAGAAATACAATTAATGTGAGAAAAGGCGATTTTCTTATGGCTCCTGATATTAGAAATACACAGGAAACCCAGGAATTTTATATTCCCATCTCATCATTGTGCTGATGATCATGTGAGGCCCTCAAGGTCATGATTTCTTCAATGTCACGCTGCAAGTGGCAGAGCTAGGAGTGGACACTAGGTTTCCTGGTTTTCAAGCTTACCCCGATACTTTCAAAGAATACTCTGGTTTGCTGACATTCACTTTCCATAGATTTGAAAGATATTAAGTTTTGCCTGCTAATAGAGTGATACCTTCTTTGTCTTAGATATTGGGCAAGAGGATATTTTTGATAATACAATTTCAAGCAAATGGTAGATTCAGAATCTTACCAGAGATTATAAGGGAGAGTAAATCTGGAGAAGAGTAAGTAAACTATTTATACGTTAGGAGATGCTATTTTAAGGCAAATAAAGAATAGGATTATGCCATTGGATATAGACATAGCTAAAAAGATTTAAAAAAGATAAATCTAATCACTTTGAACACATTTGAAACTTATGCACAAGGTTATCACTGGCTCTTTTATTCTGCAGTGATGTGCAGAGTTCCTTGGAGGGGGTGAAAGGTAGGAAGGGTGGCTCATTCCTGACCCCACTGGAATTGTGCTGAGACTTGAGGTAACCACTTCTCCTGGTCTGGATTGTCCATCCCCCAAAGTCTTTGCAACCACCCTCCAGCCCAGGACATATCCTACCAGGCTCTGATCTGACCCCTGCTCAGACATCAAACTATGCAGAGAATTTGGAGAGGATAAAATCAGAGGCCACACAGGGAAAGAGGTGGACATTTAGAAAGTCAGAGGAAAGAGAAAAGACTCAACAAGAATGTCAGTATCAAGGTCAGGAAGACATGCAAAAGTACTGTTGAATGAATAGCTAGAGTTAATCTAGAAAACTAGAAATTGTAGCCCTAAGGATTGTACTAGTTCGACTATAATTCCTGGTAGTACTCCTAGAAAACTAGTAGTACTTGTAGACACACTGAGTGCTGCTTATTCACAGAGATCACTTGAAGATTTATTATTCAGAGATTCAGAGAACACTGCCTCTTCTTGAACTGAGAACTCTCCAAAAACTCTTCCAGCTGTAATATTTTATGAATCTGAATTTGAGTTAAACAGCTGTGGACTCGGGCCAGCCCCATGGCCTAGTGGTTAAGTTTGGAGAACCTCACTTCGGCGGCCCGGGTTCAGTTCCCGGGCACAGACCTACACCACTTGTCAGCAGCCATGCTGTGGTGATGATCCACATACAAAATAGAGGAAGATTGGCATAGATGTTACCTCAGGGTGAATACTCCTCAAGAAAAAAGAAAGCTGTGGACTTAACTGGCACCTAGTAATCTCTGGAGGGAGGATGTCTGATAACTACGAGATGTCTTCTTGATACCTAGAGCTGGACTCCTGACACTCTTCATCGCACCCCGTTGTCATAGCTACTCTCCGTGGTAGCTGTAAAACCCAATGATAAGAGGAGACTTGGGGAGATTCAGCATTTTGTTCTAGGTCAAAGCGCTGGTAAGTGGCAGAGCCATGATACACATCCAAATCTTATGTCCTGCTGCTTCTCAAACACGGATCACAGAAAAGGAGTGAGGCTTCAGGTGGAAAACTCTTAAAATTGGCCTGTAATGGTTTTTTGTAAAAGTTCCAGAGTATTGGGATTTGATAAAATGAGTCCTGGGCTTTTTGGGGACTAGATCACAAGCAGAGGAAAAAGTTTTGATTTTGATCTGCTCATACCCAATTAAGTTCACCTAGTTCAGAGAACGTTACTTACCAGGGCTGGTGCTGGACTGATCAGAAATGATACTCACCCTCATAGCAGCAAAGGGCCAGACTGACCAGCAGGACAGAGAGGGACAGCCTCATGGTGGTTTATTCGCTTTGAGCTTTCAGCTTTAGCAAACAATGAGCTATTAGGAGCTGGACTCAGGAGCCTGGAGAGCCCAGGGCTATTTGTACCTAGTAAGCCTCACTGGCCCTTCCCACATGGCACATGGCAGGTCACAAGGTCTGGTTTCCAGCCCTCCCTTCCTCACTCAGAGCTGATGCCATCCATCTGTGTCGCATTCCCCACACCTCCCTCCTCCCTGAGTGGGCAAGACTCCAGGAAAGCAGCCCTGAGGGATTCTGCTGTGTCCTCCAGGAGAGCATTCAGGCACCTCTGGAAATGTGTCCTGTTTGCTCAGTTTGCCTTTGACCTTTTGATCATTGTATCTTTGTTCTTTGTGACAGTGCAGAGGCACAGGTGTGTTCTGACATCAGGAGGGCAGATCAGGGACCGGGAAGCCCGAGGCTGCACTTTGGTTATAGAGACAGGCTGTAGGGAGACCCAGCTTTGACCCCTCCTCTGCTTGCTGATAGCTGACCATGCCTGGTTCAGGTGCACATTGATCAAGTCTGAACAAGAATTATCCTCTCCCTCATTTCGCCTTCCATCAACACCATCTTCATGCAGAGGTACCTTCAAACATTGTTGAACACATCCCACCCTTGGAGAATTTCCTTGGGGAAAACCTCCATATCTGTTCTCTCCCAGCTCATTCCAAGGCCAGAGTCTTTGTTTTTGGTGGAGTTGACAACAACGCAGAGGTTCATATTCTCAGTCCATGAAGAGCAAGGCTGCCATGATGATTAGCCACCCACCTGTCATCTTACGTCGGTGTGATGATTAAATGAACTCAATGTCCTTTTTTCCCATGAGGTCCTGGGGTGTCAAGAGCCAGGCAAGCAACACAAGTGTTGACAGTTTCTCTGCTGTTGGGTTCCAGGCCGGGAAGATGATGGAATGAAGAGACAGGTGCACAGGGTGGGTACCCACTTCCCCTTCTCCCATGGGCTCAAGTCTTCCATTCAAGCCTAGCTTTGCTATCTGGGTCAATTTCATTTTTAATGGAAGTGAAGGCAGCCCCCAGCTAAAGTAATACACTCCCCACCTGCCATTCCACTGTTGTGCCACCCTGCTCTGTGTGAGTAGGAAGCATTTTCTTTCATCAGAAATTACCCATCTAAATGAACATATGTTAGAGAGGACTCACACTCCTGGCCAGAAGTTTGCAGTCTGAATTGTGCAATCAAATCACTTGGGAGATTTTAAAAAACACAGATTCCCTGACTCTCCTCTCTGGAGATTTTGAGTCAGTAGGTCTGAGGTGATGCCCAGACACCTGTATTATTTGAACACCACTGGTGATTCTGAGGAGCATCAGGACTGAGAACCACCGAGAAAAAGTCCTTTATTAACAAGGGGCATATTTATGGCCTGTGTTGTCAGTGAGCACATTGCAGGGTTTGGATAAGTCCCAGTGGAGGGCCATAGTGGTATCAGCATCAATTTCACGAGATGGTGGGGGGTCCTTCTAGGTGGTTCTGCCTCCACCACCGGGACAGGAGGCATGGTGGTGAGGACCACAGAGATCTGGGTTCAGAATGTTCATGGTCTCAGACCTTAGGACAGTTAGTCAGTTTATATAAGAGAACCCAGTTTTCTCAACTGGAAAAGGTACTAGTAAAAGTGCCCCATGATAGGTTTGGTATGATGAATAACTGTGTGCAGGTGTGTAAATTTACCAGCGTCCAGCACATACTAAACTCTCAAAAAACCTTGAATACTATTATACTGTTCTCTTTGTCAAACATCATGGGTTGTCACCAGTTCCTAGTTTAGAGCGCTGATGAAGACCACATAATCACCACTTTTCAGAACTTTAAGGAAAGCTAGATACGCCTCCTTTCTCTGAAATATATGGAGGAGGAAATCAGGTGCATGGTCGGAGTCTACAGACCCATGGACATGAATTAAGTAGTCAAAGCTCTCTTACTGCATGCTGAGCTTCAGAATGTCTCCATATCTGCTGAACAGAGCTTGTGCTGGCACAGACTCCGGTTCACAGTATATTCCATCAGGGAGGGGCATATTTTTATTATTCCGAAGGCTCTTCACAACTGTTCAGGGTTTTTTTAGTTTCCATACACAGTTCATGCTTTTTCATGTCTGCCCTCTTCCTTGCCTAATTGACTCACTATTTCAGTTCAATCTTCCTATTCTGGGGGGATTGGTCCCTGACCCCAATGACTTGGTCAATGTCCCTTTTGTAGGCTCTGCCAGTACACTGGATGTCTTTTGACTCAATTACGAGGTTGTAGATTTATAAACGTACAATCAGTTAACTCATGTGAGCCCCTCTGGACTTCATCTCCATAATTGCAGGACAATATCTGGTTTCCTCATCCTTGCTTAGCACAGTGCCTGGCACAGAGAAGAGGAACATCAAGCATTCCTTGCCGGAACCATACAGTTGTCATCTTCCATACAAGTCCCTGGGTTGCAAAACCATCTATAGCTAATAACAATAGAGGTAATAAAGAGTAGAAATATTTTTGCTTGCTAACTATGGCCAGACACTGTGCAAACACAATTTATTATATTTCCTTAAAATTTAATTATCATGTTAAATGACAAGACATTTTTATTGCGTAAAATGAGAGAGTGAGAACTGAAGAAAGAGATGAGGTATATCAGTGAGAATGAGATTCTATCATATATATTAGAGGCCTTTAGAATTCAAGGAAGAAGAAAGCCCTTATGAGCTTGCATTCTCCAGGAAGGAAGACTTTGTGAGGAGGCGATGACTGAGTTTGATCCTGAAGGACAAACTAGGTGAGGATGACAGAACAGAGAAAATATGGGGAGCATCTGGGCAAACGCATTGCCCTGAAGCTGAGCTTTGCACACTAGAGGATACAGATGCCCACATTCCTGCTGGTGTCTGTCTGCACTATAGCTCTACTCACTGTCCACTGTGTGAGGCTACCTTGCACTACTGACCTTTTACCAAAGGGCAAATTCTTTTAGATATTTCTCCATGACATAGTTTCCCAACCATGGCTTTACTGACGTTAGAGGCTGAAGAATTCTTTTTTTTTGGTTTGTTTTTTGCTGAGGAAAATTCACCCTGATCTAACATCTGTTCCAATCTTCCTCCATTGTTTTTTTTTAAATATGGGCTGCCAGCACAGCATGGCTGCTAACAGAGCAATGTAGGTCCACGCCCAGGAACCACATCTGGGCCACGAAAGTGGAGCAGGCTGAACTTAACCACTAGGATGTTGGGGCCATGCCTGAAGAATTCTTTTTTGAGTGGATGTCCTGAGCATTGCAGGTTTTTACCAGCATCCCTGGTTTCTACCCACTTGATGCCAATAGCAAACCACCCACCCTGTGGAGACACCACAAACATCTCTAGACACGGATGTTGTTCACAGGGGTGGGTGGGGTGAGGGAGTAAATCAGCCCCAGAATAGATTCACTGCTCTAGCAGTGGAAATACTTTATATCAGATCTCCCATATACCCCTTGCAATACACCTAAGGACCTGAGGTTCACAACTGTGGATGCCTACAGTTACCAGAAAATGTGGGCATTCACTGGAGGGAAAATTACTAACAAATAGACAAGATACTGGTGTAGTTTTCTAATGAGCTGTCACACATGTATGAGATTAAATATTTAAGTGCACATTTTAAGGAAATGTCAAGTTGTGTAAAGTTCAGGGTTTTGGTGAATGAGCCAAAGAGAATTACCTGGGGCTGACCTGATCCTTCCTCAGCATCTAAATCCGGCTCACTGACCCAAGTCGTTAGATGGATCTGGTTTAGATTGGATCAAGGGAATGGTTACTTCTGGGGAACAGGGAGACTGAGGTGGCCCAGTCCCTGATGCATGGGCTCCAACTTACTCCTCTCCTCACCTGTCCCCTCCCTGTTGTGACTGCAAAGTCCTCATCCAGGAATAGAAAGAAGGTGATGTCACACTGATGTCTTATTTTAGTGTTGGGTTTGATCCCTGCCTTTACTAAAGATTCAAATTTAAATGAGCTTCTCTCTCTAAATAGACAGAATAATAAAACATGTATAATAATCAGTGAATTCTTTGTAAAAATTCAAAATCTGTCCTGAAAAGCAGTCACACAACAATTAATAAAGCAGCTGCAGGTTGACTATTGTCACACAAAGAGCAGAGGTGCACAGGCCGTGCCCTCAAGGAGCATGAACAGGGAGGAAAGGGCCATGGGATCAGGTCCTGGGATGTCAGGAGAGAGCTACACTTGGAGAGCCATGGAGTCCTCAGAAGGGAGGTCCCGGAGATTTGTGGGCCAGAAAAGGGCACAAGAAGTGGGCTGTCTTTGATGTGGCATTCGGAATGAATAAGGAGTTTCAATTCAGAGGGACTGAGGCAAGGACAGTGGGAGAGGGAAGTTCACAGGGAGCAGAGGCCTGGAGCAGAAACTGTGGGGCCTGCACAGAAATCAACCAGGAGCTCACATAGGGTAGTTGTGGGAGTCAAGGTCACAAGGAACCATATGAACCATAAAATGAAGGTCCGTAATGCTGAAATGCAAGCTATCAATAGTGTTGGGAGTGACCTCTACAGTCAGAACACCTAGATCTTTATCCAAGCTCTACCATCCACTAGCTGTGTGCCCTTGGTCAAGTTACTTTACCTCTCTTGCCTCATTGTCTGCAGCTGGGGAGAAATGATGTGCCCACCTCATGGGGAGGGTGACCACACATCCCAGTTTACTCAGGAGAATCCTGATTTATGTTGCTCTTCTAGCATTCCATTCATTTAGTGACCTCTTTCACCCTCCAAAGTGCCCTAGTTTTGCCAATAAGTTTCATCATTAACCTGCTCATTGGGTTGTTGTCATAAAGACTAAAAGAGGCTGTCACCAATGCCCAGCATCAAGTAGGTCCTATGTAATTGTTTGCAATTCATGTTTTATTGAATTTTGAAAACATGTAAATGCGGATTGGTGCTGGATGTTGAAAAGATGACTAGGCCAACAATATGTAGAATATGTTTGATAAGAAATGATATGTAGGAGCTGGAAGTCAAGACAGCGGTGAAAGCAGACTCTGAACTCACCTCCTCCTGCAGACACAGCCAATTT